ATTGATGGTTTCTGCAAAGCATTTTTCTTTTGTGCCACATTTTCACTTCATTCTCTCACAATCAAAACACTCCAGACTTGAAACCATGTTGGTGACTTCCACCTCTGTAACTGCATTAACAGATTCTGCTGGTATGACTCCTGGCTTTCTGGAGTAAAAGGTGCAAGTATTATTCTACTTGCATTTAGTTGCTGTCACAAAGACTAAACCTGCTAAATATGCTAGAGGTGAAAACACACAGTAGTACAGGAATGTTTTCATTAGTCAATACATCACCATATTAATGAGCAAAAATGTAGGGGACTGTGCACTATAAACTGTGTTGTAATAAAAAGAGCAATCTGGATACATGTCAGGGATTTCAGGGGTGCTGAGCATCTGTAGTTCCAAGTGAAAAGAATGGGAATTGACGTCAGTGGAATTATACCAGCTTCCTGCACCTGTGAATTTGGCCTCAAGGTGACCTAATATGCCTTCTCCATCTTTCATTTCTGTTTGATAGCTACAGCACAACCAAAATATTTTCTTCTCTTTACAATTAAACTAACCAAATAAGCTATGTAGAGCAGAGCATTCAATGCATTGAGGCAATTTCCTATGTAAGAATTTTTTTAACAAACGTCATTTTCTTGATTGTCAACTATTCAAATTCTTTTAAAAATTCTCATAAGATCCTCCCAAGCAAGCAGGAACATTTAAAACTCAGATAGTGAACAATCATTTCAGAGTCCACTGCTTGTATTTCATCTGTGGGTGAGTTAATGCAGATCTTCGACTACAATTTTTTGGTCCCTGTATTTCCAATTATAAATTAATAATTTCTCTTCTGCAGAGTCTTTTCCTTTTAAGTTTGTCAGATGTACTACCTTGGAATTCTAGACTTGTAGTAGCAGGTAGAAGTAGCTGAGGCTAAAAATCTGGGTACCATGCTCTACCAGGACTCAATGGAATTGTTTGATGCAGCTTGGGAGGGTTGGTAACAAATTATCCATATCCCAAGGAGTCTCACTGGCTTCATTTTGAAAAGCTGGCCATGACTTCAAAGATATTAAACGGATGGTTCGTGCTGGCAGTGGCTGCTTGTTACAAAGCACTGCCTCTGACACAAGCAATACCTTCCTTTATATAGTAATAACCTGCCTGATAATGTCATGAGCTTTCATGGAGTGGGACAAAAGGTCTTGATGTTCTTCACATTCTCAGATTATCCTTATCCCTGGAAGATCTCTTATACAAGAGAAGTGGGCATTTTACCACTGCTGTTTAAAACAAACCAGTCCAAAGAAAATAATTCAAGCAGAAAAAATGCAATTACTGCCTTTAGAAGTCTCTCATTTTCGATTTTACCCATAGCAAAAATGATGGTGTTGGCAATGTGGAAAATAATGATGTATTTCACAGATTTATGACAAGGAATAATTAATTAAAGCATATGCAGCATCTCAGAGATAGTGAGTAATGTTGGTAGGATACATAAAGAAATACAGACCAAAAACAAAGCCTCTGGAAGTTTTCCTACTTTTGGAAAATGAGGGTGTACTGATCATGCACAGTGTGACAAAACACTGTTAGTCCACAATGAATGATGGATAAGAGAGATGTCTTTTTCTGCTATGAAGACTGGTTGCGCATCCTTCCTAGTTACTAGTCTGAAATAAATTGCATTTTGTAATCTATTCATATGTGCAGTGAAAAGAGTAGCTATTTCTTACATTTCTCAACTATGGCAAACCACCTGTCATCTTTTTCTATTTGATTTACTAGATAACAGCTTCTAACTGAACCAGACCTTTTGACAAGTTCCTTAAAGTATATTTGCTATTTCTTATCTAATTCAAATAGCAATAATTGTTTCACTATACCTGTCCTATCATACTTAAAGTATGGGGCCACTGTTGTCAACAGCATTTTGATTTCGATGTAGACAGAACTGTTTCTTGATATAGAATTTCCATTCAGGAAGCCGCCTGTTTCCCTTACAGTTAAAGTTCAGATTCTGTTTTGCTAGTCAGTCTCTCCTTTAGGGTGTTCTTCCCCCTGTTCTTCCTCTACTCACAGTATACATGTATCTATTGAAGTTTAAGAACCAACATAACAGTGTAAAAACATTGGGTTTTTTCCTTGCAAAGAGCTCGGAGATACTGACAGATGAGTTAAACTTGAGTTGTCAGAACATTTGTTTTCAGCTTGAACCCAGGTCAGTTTTTCCCTTAACTTGAAATAGTATTTCTATAACTCAGGCCATTGTGGTAAATCCTAAGGAAATCACCAAGTAAGTATAACCAACATCCTAACATAGCTTAAGTGCTTGTAAATGGATTTCTTCTGTGCCCTAAATTAAATTGAAGTGTAAAGTTTTATAGTATTACCCTGTGACAACAGTCAGTAAATTAGATGTTCCATTACCCATTAAGCTCTAAAGATTTCATTTATATTGCTTTGTTTTTTAGAATTCTGTGATGACCTCAAACAGTAAATAAGTATTATGTCACCATAATGGATTCCACATGTAAATTGCAACTCTGGCTTTAATACAGCTTTACCCAGTGTGCCCAGTTTTAATCAAATAAATATTCTTACTAAAGCAAGTAGGTTGATGTTCCTACTAAATTTGAAGATGGATCAAAAATTCAGATACCTTAAATGTGAATCTCTTTGTCACATTCTGCTAATATTTTCTGAAGTCTTCAGAGTCCACGTGTTAAAGTTTTAAGGCTCCCACATGAAACCAAGGAGCTTGTATAATGCAACCTTAGGGAATTTAGGACTTCATTACATTTCAAAATTTACCCAGGCGTATAGATCAGATTCATATGAAAAAAAATTTCATAGATTTTTGTTTCTGTCTCTTTTTACAATTTATAGAAACTCCAGGTCAATTTCTAAATATTTAAAAGCAGCTATGACAGAGATGTAGAGCTCCAACTTGGAAATCAAGAAGTTGTCAAATGGATAATTTTTTAGCAGAAAGAAAAAGAATAAGAACAAAGGAAAAGGAAGGCAGGACTGATAACTGTATACATAATATCCACACTGGCATTAGTACTACTCTGCACTGAGAGGACAATTTCATCAAGTTATTTGTTGCATTTTTAGTCTGCTACTCCATTCTTCTGTTTGCAAGCATAGGCAATGTAGAATTAGTAAAAATGGATCTGTTCCAGAGTCCAGTGCAAATCAAAGATTAAATGTACATGTAAATAAACATTTTCTCACTCCTTCATCAGAATGAAGGCAATGTGGTAGGAACTCAACACAGAAGCTGCTGTACTCTGCTGTACATGTTACATAAGTCTTAAAGTGTTACCACCTGTCTGAAAGTGTAATACTCAATATCCTTAGCTTACTTTTTTAACCTTTTCAGCTTTTTATCAACAGAGAGTGTTGGTTTTATGGAGGGTTTTTTGAGATTTCTTTTCTTTCTAAGTAGTAGCGTGAGCATTGAGGGATTTTAATTTCTGTTTTGCTTTAGAAAATCACATATATTACATGAGCATCTCCAAGTAAAAAAAAACAAGAGTACCATAGGTATGATGACGCTTTTACAGAAGTTCTACTTCAGTTAGAGTGATATCATTAGTCAGTTTGAATGCATACACATTGATTGCCTCACAACTTGATTCAATGAGGTCGAGCTGATTTGTAGGGGATCCCCAAATACACAGAACCAAATAATTTTGATTTGTTAGAGGGTTACAGTGGTTTCAGTCACCACCATACACAATACCATTTGGAATGTTCTGCTACTTCCTGATCATTAAGAGTTTAAAGAAAACTATATATAAGATCTTTACACCACAAATTCAATATCAGTGTTTAAGCCATCTTAGGCACTGCAAAGAGAATTTTGAATAGCAAGTCTTATTTTGATGTAAATGCATCTGTTTCAAAATACCTCATGGCATTTACTTCAATGCACTTCATCCCAGCCTGACCTGTTAGATGATATCAGAATCTACACTGAACATAAAAGTAGAAGGTTTTAATTTTTCTTCATTTTCCCCCAGTGCTGCCACAGAATGATAATCAGCATCAGCTGTTGAAATTTTTTTTAAACGTGTGATTTTTCAAATTGACATAAAATTTACTTTGAGATTGCTATTTACAGATTACATTGACCTAAACCCTATCATTGTGATAGCTTGTTAAATCCCCCTAGGTCATGTTTTTAGACTTTTCATTACCATAGGTTTTCTGGTTTCTTATTCCAATGTCACATTTTGGTTTTTATTCAGCAGGATTCTGATTTCACTCCATCACTTGCTAACAGCTAAAACAACGTTTTACTGATTGGAAAAAAAATTGGAAGAATAAAAGGCAACAAGGAGGGAAAGGAAAGGGAATTGACTGCTGGTCTCCCTAAATTCCTCTATGAGGCCTTTCTGTTTTGGATGTGTGAGAAAATCATCAAGCTACCCATACTTCTAGCAAGACATGAACTCTCCCACTCAGCCAAACTCTGCATGAATACAGATTAGCACTACGTTGATTTCTGAGGACAATGGCCTGATAAAAATCATAACAATTGTAGTTGCGTGATTTAGGTGATATTATGCAACAACAAGGTATCATGCAGCAGTTGAGGGAAAAGCAATTACAAATCTAAATGCACCATCACACAGTAACAGTGCAGAGCAATGTTTACGTAATTAGAAAAACACTCCGTGGCTGTAGAAAACACCATATTGTTTGGTTACTTAACTGCCAAGTCTGTGACTACCAAACATCTTTCCTGTGTTTCTGGGTACAATGAAAGAAGAATACCTGACACAGACTGATACCAACACTTCTGATATACTAGTCAATAATCCCAAACTTCCTTCTCTATGTGAGAGAAACATAGCAAAAGTTCTACCATTACACCTAGATAACTTGTGCTGATAAATATTTAAACTTCATCAGAAGATTTCATATGCATACCAGTGAAAACTACTACAAGGGTCCTGCAAATGAATTGGCAATACGAACAGAGAAGAGAGATTTCAAAGAGAAATTCATACCTAGCTGTAGTTTTCAAACCTGCCAAAATGCAGAAGGCAAGAGGCAGATACAGATGTTAAATTCGAGTCCATTTTGAATAATTATTTTATCATGAAACTGCAGAGAAAAGAAAAAGAGAAAAAAAAAAAAAACAAGAACAATTAACAAGGATGAATTAGGGATAGAGAATACAGGAATAATTCTCTTTCAACTTCAATCCTACAAACTGCATAAAAACATATAAAGCTTTGCAGTCAGACATAAGATTAAATTTCCCATATAACTGCATTCCAGACTAAGTTTTTCTTTTCTCTAAGGTATTCATCCCCTAATTAGTCCTACAAAGAAGACCAAACATGATTTTATTTCTTTAACCACTGACTACATGTTGTTAACCACAGATCTTATCAGATCCATCCAACAAAAAAATATGTAGCTTACTTAAATTTTGATCTACACCTTTTTTATTTTGTAAGTTATGTGGTGAAACTTAGTGTTTTGGAAAATTTCCATGCTTATTCACTTTATAAAAGATAAGTTCAGATGTAATGTACAAATTCTCATTGATGGGCAATTAGTCTTAAAGCCCTTTTCTTATGCTACAAATCAGTGCAGGAAAAAACAATCTGCATGTACTTCTTAGAAATTGTTAAAACATACAAAATCCATGAGAAATCACTGTGATTGAAATACATTTTAAACTTAACTTTTTTATTGTTTCTTTCCCAATGTGTTTCCTTGGGGAAATGCGCTGTTTCTTTGTGGAGAGATGTGCAGTAATGTAACTCTAACACTAACTGGGATTTAACTCTTCAAAACAAAAAAATTCTCTCTGGCATGCCAATTTCATAATTGTGGCTGTCAAATCCAAACTGATGAGCTGCTGTCTCAGACAGCAACAGCAAGGAGATGAGGAAATAAAGCAATTTTCCAATCAAAAATTCAGGTTTTATTTCATTTAACACCATCTCCTCGTGTACTTTTCATTACCAGTTGACATCATGAGCAGCAGGGATTCAGTCATATCTGTATTCTGTGTAAAAATTCTGGACATTCTGAACAAACTGATCAAAACACTCAGAAATCTAGTTATATGCAAACAGACTTTAAAAATTCTAAATAAAAAATAATCAGCCATTAGCATAGAGTTCTGAAGCATCTTATACTGTTTAGAATAGGACAGAATGCTTACAGAATATATAAAATATGGATTTCTCATTAAATCATTGAAGTTAGACTATACTTCTCTGTATTAACTTGAAATGTTAGTTGCAAATGCTAGAAATACACTGATTTCTTTATTTTTGCATGTTCAAAAACATAATCACATTATTCCTATGGATTCTATGCATTACCACACACAAGTGCAGCTGGTCACTGCTGAGGGCACTGCATGTCTCTTCCAAGGGACACATCTGTAGAACTCAGTTCAGGGCATTGCAAAAAAACCTGGCCAGCACATACACAGAGCACAATACTACTGTGTTTATAACTGCACTTAATCTGACACTGTGTGCTGAGAAGTGCTCATTAACCTTGATAGTGCCACACAAACACAGATATATTGCTTTCACAGTCCTTGACAGGACATTCAAGTCCAAGTGCAGCCTCTCTCTGCAGCTCTGTGTTATGCCATGCAAACATGGACAGGAAGGAAACTTCACAAATCAATGGCATTGTTAATTTTGGACAGTTATTTTCATTTAAGTGGAAGGCCAAACTTCATCTCCTTTGGCAGAGTTTACTCCTCTATATCACTCTACTTTCTACTGAAATCAAATGATATTACATGATATCTCAAATATTTCTCTTGATGGCATGTTGAGGAGCTTTGGCAATCATCACTTTTCTCTAATAACTTCCTTAAATTTCAAAATTATGCCTATTTGACTGATGTAGAGTAAATAGAACTCTCTTCATGTGTAAGATAATCCCTCAAGTATTATAGCTCCTCTCGAACACTTAATTATCACTTTAAAGCCCTCTTGAGGAGTCAGGTGAATTCTGAAGTATTCTGTTTGCAGAAAATTATTCATTTTGACTATTTTCTGAATTATTTAAACAGTCCTTAAACTACACAACTGCAGTATCCCACTTTCATAAATGTAGTTTATCTCATAAACCTTTTCATCCCAATTTCAAAAAACACCTACGCAGTGCCCTTCAGTGTGTGTTTACCAGACTGTTTAGTTTCCTTCAAAAGTTGTTTAACTATTGCCCAGCTACAACGCTGTGACCAAGGAGGTGTCAGATTTTTCACTTTGCCTTAAATTCTATGAGAATGTGCAGCAGAATAGAGGATAATTTGTGTTAATTTCCCATTTATGAAAAATAATAAATTTTAACTCACATTCATTAAGACTTTTGACCACCCTACAAGTACAGCCCCTCATGCCTATTTGTCAGTACTGTTCCAGTGTGAGCACATCCACAGAGGTGCTCACTTTCAAGACACAACTTCACAAGAGACAGGTCTTGTTGCCTCTGCTCACTGAACTACTTATTCTTTTCTTAGAAAACTGTGTCACACAAATGCTGGTTTATGTTGAACATTCTCTAGTAGAATTAATATAGTATGATATTCATAATATTGTAAGCAAAAGTATAAACCTAGAACTGTTTCATACTATTTTTTGCTATATATTTTGTTAGTGAACACAAAGATAAATAGATTCATTTTCCAAACTGAATGCATCTGATGAAAGATCTATGGTGAAATGCCAATACAGACAAATTTCAGGCTGACAAGGAACATATTCACTTCATTTTCTTTCTTTGTGGCTTCTAGGCATTATATGAATATAACATCACCAGTTAAGAGAACAAAATCCACTGATGACAGACTGTGACAACATAAGGCAGTAAAACATTTCAGCATCTGCTCTCTTTCTGTATGGCTGCTGGGGGTGATGTGTTAGGCTCTATCTCTCCCTTGCCCAGAAAAGTGAGTCAACAGGGTGACTTCAGCATAGGACAAAGGGAATTTACTTTGGATGCCATCTCCTCTGATATCAGAAACACAGGTCACAAAGTACCAACTGAACAATTGCATTGATTTTCTCTTTGATTTGGAATCTGTCAATCTTCTTACCAGCTACAGTTAAGATATGTGGGACAAGCAAAAGAAGCTCTGATTTAACAGTAACAGCTGCAGACAGTACAGGTAATCCCAGCCACAGCTAGGTATTCCCTCTTGGATTCCCAGCTGCTATTCCTACACCCAGAGAGCTCATGGTTCTTGGCAGGTATTGACACACTACAGAGAATTCTGTGTGATTTTTATTCTCCAGATCTGAAAGTTGAAATAAAAATCTGAACCCTGCAGAGTTTTCACTGATCTGATAAAAGCCATTGTCACATTCAGCTGACCTGGGGGCTTTAGAGTCTCACAGAAAGAGTGTAAGAGCAAACAGGGTCCCTTGGAAAGGAACACTGCCAGTAAGAAAAGCATGTCAGGTAGAGGATGCACTGTCAATGGATAATTTAGCTTGTTGAGGCTCTTCCAAGGAACAGCCCAAACATTTCAGTACAGCAGTAAGTCAGGGAGATCTGACAAGAGATTGGAGAGCAAAAAAATATTTTAAGTTGATGAGTGAGCTCCATAATTTACAGGGGAAAAAATCAATTTTAACTATATTTAGTTTCTGTTTACAAGAAGAAATATTTGCTTTGCTTTGCTAAATTATATTTGTACAAGCCAAACATCATTACATGGCTTTGAATAACTCAGAAAACTATTTCCATAGCACTGAATGAATTAAGGAATAATAATATCACCAGGACATTAATTTTTTTTTTTCCTCTATTGATATAAATTTTTTATTCTGTCCTTGCTGAACTTTTTGGTCATTCTTTATTCAGGTCATGTCAAATAAGAGAACAGAATGGACTGGTGAGCAGAAGCACTCTAACAAGCAAGATAAGATGCTCCATCACTTTGTGATGAAATATTCAAACACACTGCCCACTATTATCAACTTGGTCATGACTGATTTAAATGATACATAGAAAAATGTGCTTTAATCTTCCATATAAAAAGTTCTAAAAAATTAAAACTGAAATCACAGTTTAAAGAAAAAGCTATCAGACACTTCAGTCATCATTTACTTGATTGTACATTTTCTGCTGTTAAAGTGGCTGGTTTCACTAAAGAACTGAATACAGCTGCAAGTGTAATGCAGATGATCTAGTGTCAATAATTTGTGAGCTACTGAACGTCTTCGTGGATATTGATGCCATTACACTTTAAATTAAACACACTAATGTTCTTCTCAATTATTTTTTACCTGTGAAGAATAGTCAGAGAATGTTTTGGGTTGGAAAAAACCTTAAAAGTCATGTAGTTCCAACTCCCCTGCCATAAGAAAGGACACCTTCCACCACAGCAGGTTGCTCAAGGCCTCATCCAACCTGGCCCCAGGGACGGGGCATCCACAGCTGCTCTGGGAAACCTGTTCCAGTGCTTCACCACTCTCACAGTGAAGAATTTTTTTCTTTATATCTAATCTGAGCCTGCCTTCTTTCAGTGTAAAGCCATCACCTCTTGTCCTCTCACTACATCCCCTTCTAAAAAGTTCCTCTCCAGCTTTCTCATAGGCCCTCTTTAGGTAATAGGAGGCTCTCAACACCTTGCCAACAAAACTGAAAAGAATATGCATGCTTAACCTGTTCTCTGCCATTTCAAGCATCTTTCTTTTAAGTTCAAGTCAGAATGTTCAGAATTAATAACAATGACTAAAAATACTATACCTGACTTAGAATACTTTCTGCCACTTTATTATATTTCTGCAATATATACTTAGCACTCAAAATTATTTCTTTACTTTCTTAATCAATGGCAGTAGAAAAATATGAGCTTAAAGAATTACAGAACATAAACAAAAGAACTACATATGGAACTGATTATTCAAACAGCCTTTTTTCTCTATGAAATATTTCCAGTTTAATGAGAATTGTTGATTCCTGTTTAATAATCCATTCTTTTTCTCCCCAACTCTAGTGAAAACAGAGAGAAGTTAACTGTGAAATTCACTACGATCTTGGGAGAAAATGGATAGACCTTGCTTGACAATTTATCAGTGAGTATGTTAATTTCGCCAACCTCCATTTCTTT